GCGCCCCCCGCCGGCAGCGCCCCCTTGTGGCCAGCTCCCGGCCGGCAGCGCTGCCCCGGGGAACGACCGCGCCCCCCCCCCGGAGCGAGGAGACTGGCGGTGGCTGCAATCGCCTGCGCTCCCGCGGGAGGGCCAGGGCCAGCTTTTCCTTCGGTCGTTGGCTTCATTTGTCGCCCCGAGACAACCCGGCACGCCTGCGGTGTCAGTGCACTCGTTCTAGCCGGTCCTGGTCAGCAAGGACGGGCGGAGACCAGCATCCCAGCTGCCGGAGGCCGGGAGAGCACCTGGGAGGGAGACCCAGAGGTCTTAGAACCGACAGGACCGCACGAATGCTTCTTGCCACAGCCAGTTCTTTGAAATCCTTTCTTTCTTCCTTTAGTGTTGACGAAATGTTAATAAATTCTCATTCAAATACTTCATGCTTATTTACTCGAAGGTTGGAATCGGCTCGTTGAGCTGCTTTCCACGCAGACTGTGAAATGAAAGTAACACACTTCAACTTTCAGTTTCTATTAAGAGTAGCTACAGACTCGTCCTTTAATGAATCACAACCAAACAGCAAAGAGGAATAACATTCAAAAATTCTAAAAAAAGTAAGCTTAAGTCAGGACTTTTAAAAAAGGCATCTAGCACCTCAGCCTTTTAACACAGTTACCCTAACACCCCCTTGAGGTCAGTAAATACTGTGAGCTTCGCTTTACAGACGGGAAACGCAGGTTTTCACGTTGCAACACACGCTGCAATTCTGAACCAGAGACCGGGAGGTGCCCAAACCAGCAGCTAGGAAAGCTGTACTGCAGGGGGCACGGGACGCAATCCCTGCCCCGCAGAAACAGCCGCTCTGCGTCTCCACCTGAACAGGGTGAGGATTTGAACACAGATCTCGTGCTCCCCGGCACGAATGCCACAGCTCCTGAACGCAGCAGGAAACTCGCTCCGCGCTAGAAGCACGCGCCAATTCTCACGCTGTGTAAGACGCAGTTTAACGCATCGTGTTCCAAACGCCGGGTGGTGCTCCCGAAACACCGAGGGGAACTCCTGAGAAGCCCAACCAGAGCGAAGGGCGACCGAGGGCACAGAAGCGCAGGGGTCAGGCGGAGGAAGCTCTCAACTGGCCATCGGGAAGCGCGAGCGCCTTGCAGGCTTCAGGCGCTACAGACTGGACAGCCACTGCTGTTCAAATTCACACAGGGTACAGTGTAACAACGCCATTGTGGTTTAGTCCCAAAATCACAAAAGAACTTGAAGTCTTTAAGTGGACATATGAACTACCGAGATCCCAGGAACTCCTATTCACTCCTGTAATACTCGATCAATGGATCTGTCAGTCAAGTGCAAGGTCTCCATTAAATGATGCTAACTACTGTAATCGGACAAGATTAATTCAAGATAGCACTGAAGACATTATGTTTTTACAATTACATGTCATTATCCAATATATCAAAACATGCAGTTTGTGCAGGTATTTCAGCAACATGGAAAATAAAAGGCAATCTCCCACTTTCTTCGCTTCAAACCATTCTGTACATCGTGTACAAACGTAGGAATGGAAGGGCTCAATTAGTGTGAACGCGTTGCAATACACTCGCTGTCTCTAGGAGACGGCGGCATCTTCATTTTGCTTATCTTGGTAAGTGTTACAAAAGTAGGTATTCTATAGGTCCACTCTATCAGCTTTACAGCACTTCAGCTACGCATCCAAAGAAAACAACTCATCCTTGTGGGACTACACCTCGAAGCCACTCAAAGTAAAGCTTTTCTTAAGGTGTTGCAAAAGTTATTGAAATGGCTGGAGTATTTAATAGCCAAAACCAAAGTACTATGAAAGCATACCCCAGAGGTTTTATTGTTTTAGTAGCAGTCAAAATATGTTTAGTGTAGAAATCCATGTTTATTTGAAAAAACTGTAAATGATATTTCACAGTATAAATTAAATTTGCTTACAGAGTTTTGGTGGCTGAAGTAGCTGTGACTTGACTGCTAATTGATAATTTGCCAGTATAATGTGGACTGGGATCTAACCTGCTAGTATAATGTTAAAAGGGATCAGGGCGTCATTTATATTGCGAGTGTTACGACAGCCCATAAAAAACAGTCAACCAACTACTTTCTCTCCTAGTATGAGCAACAGTGAACATTATGAGCAACACGGCTGAAACAGATGATTCAACTTTTTGATTGAAATTTTTAAACAACTTTCAATCATTCAAGTATTATGGTCCCTATATACATAGTTCTATGTGGCTAGAAAAGACATGGTAGACAATTGAGTACACCGCCATCAAATCGTAAGAATTACAAAATCGTCAGGTTTTAAACAGCAAATTGTACCTTAATCGTTTAATTAAAAATAGAAGAATTAGGTAGACTATTTTGCAAATAAAACAGCACACTAGTGTGCTATATATTAAGGCATACCTTTAAATGCGCACTTGTCATCTCTAACAAGTTTTATACAATTGCTACCAAGTGAAAGGACTATCATTGTCTTGCAAAACTGAGAAAGAAATACAAAATATCTGGAAGCCTACATTTTTAAAGTACAAAATTAACCCTTAGTCCTTGTTTTGAAATACTATACACGGTACAAACGGCGATTCTCCCCTACAAGATCTCACGAGGATTTCTTAAAGCTGGAGGTAAATTCGAAGGTTTCGATTCTTCATCCAGAAGTACCAAATCTTCAATTTCACTACCTTTGTATTTTCTTTTACATATCTTCACAATAACTTTCTTCTTGAGGAATAATTTCAAAGCTTCTCTTGAAGCAACCGCTTTGGCATTTTCCATACTTTTACCACAGCCAGTACCCAAGTAGACAGACTTGCACCTCAGTTCACAAACTATATTTTCTAGAGAGCTCTTATTTTGAGGCAAGTCTGCAAGTTCCTTCAGGGGAACAAAAGCAACATCCAACGTAGCTTTTACAGACTGAATAGATGAGTTAAGAAGTTCTGCGTGATTTACGTTAGGACTGAAGCCTCCAACAGCAACCAGTTTCCAGGCTACGGCTTTGTATAGTCTGTTGAAAAAAGGCTGCCTTTCCTTTGCATCTTCGCTGGTTAACGGTTTGCACAAAGCCTTAGCAGGGCTTTCACCTGCCTGCGAGCCACTCTTGGAAGCAAGCTGTGGTGAACCCGCCTGCGTGCCACCCTTGGAGGCCAGCAGGGAAGCACCTGCCTGAGCTCCACCCCGGGAGGCCAGTGACGAAGGACCTTGCTGAGCACCGCTCCGAGTGGCCAGCAGCGAAGCAGCCACCTGAGCGCTGCTCTTGGAAGTCAGCAGTGAGGATCCCTGCTGAGCGCCGCTCCGAGCGGCCAGCAACGAGGCAGCCACCTCGGCACTGCTCTTGGAGGCCAGGAGCGAGGAGCCTGCCTTGGCAGTGCCCTTGGAGGCCAGGAGCAGCGAGGTGCCCGCCTGAGCGCTGCTTTTGGGGGCCAGGAGCAGCGAGGTGCCTGCCTGAGCACCGCTTTTGGGGGCCAGGAGCAGCGAGGTGCCCGCCTGAGCGCCGCTCTTAGATACTGATGCTGGGGCACTCGCTTGGTTTTTGGAAGACAGCAACGTAGCACTTGTTTGCGGGGTGCTCTTGGCAGCTGGTGGCACCACGGCTGCCTGCGGGGTGCTCTTGGTGGTCGGTGGCACCGCTGCTGCCCGTGGGGGGCTCTTGGTGGGCGGGGGGGCCACGGCC